TCAAGATGCAATTTCCTTTACCAGGGATTGTTGTCAAGACTAGGCTGCTAAGTTTCAGGCTGGTCCAGTCTCCCATTCTGCAGCCAGACACTCCCTCCCCTGGTAAGAAACTGCAGGAAAGGAGTCATCATGGACCCAAGTCTTGGAGCTAAGCCACCAGCCCTGCAGAATCTGGATGGGACGGAACTGAGAACGGCCAGGGGAAAGGCTTGGTGCCATGTCTCAGGCACAGGCATTTGCTTCAGCCTGGGAGAAGGGCTGTCTCAGTGGTGCCCTTGGCCCTCAGTCTTGAAACCTTCCTCTATCCTTTCCCTCCTCCCACTCAGACATGTTTGATAAGACCAAATCCGGCCGCATTGATGTCGTTGGCTTCTCAGCCCTATGGAGATTCCTCCAGCAGTGGAAGAGCCTCTTCCAGCAGTATGACCGGGACCGCTCTGGATCCATCAGCTCTGTAGAGCTGCAGCAAGGTAAGGACCACGGTAGGCACAGTGGGCCCGGCACAGCTAGACTCCTTTTCATGCCTTAAAACACAGTGAAGGGTTTCCTCTCACTGCCCAGTGCTTTGAGCCAAAATCCAGGGCCAGGCAACTGGGCCTTGAATCATCAGTGCTGGGCTCCCTGGTGACAGGACTGAGTGGAACAGCCCCTCTGGCATCAGAGATGGGAACTTAGCAGTGTGGTTCGTTCTTAGTGTCCAGCATGTGGCATGGAAAGAGACCTGCTTTAGGGCTCACAGTTCTGTTGCCACTTGGCCAGAGGTGATTTCTGAGGTCCAGAGCCTTCTCAGAGTTGTGGCTGGGTGCGAGGACCTGGGGCCACAGATCCACATCTGGTTCCTGTCTGACTCCGTAGGTCAAGCCTGCAGCCTGCGCTCAGGCCAGTAGGGAACTAAGACAGATGGCTGATGTGGCTTTGAGAGCCCAGGGAGAAGTTCCATCACCTCTCAGGGGAAAGGCTGCCCAGAGAGTCCAGGTCCTTTTTCCAGGCCGTGCATTTCATTGAGGTGAAGGTGTGTGTGGGGGTGAGCGTGCCGTGTCTGCCCCTGCTACAAGGGAGGGTGACCAGTACTGAACACTGCCTTGCCAGCTCCTTTCACTGATGCTGGTGAGGTTGATAACAACAACTTACTAAATGTTTGCCATGCCCTAGGCACTGAAACCAGCATCGCAGTCGGTTCCTGAAATTCCTCTTCCCGTAGGCTAGACCCTGCTGACTGTTCCGTGCACACACAGGGACTGGTGCAGAACCCCTGCTGGTCTCCCTCTTACTAGTGACAAAACTGAAGCCTAGTCCCTTGCCCAGGGCTCACAGAGCAGAGCTCAGATTGCTCCTGGGAGGCCAGGGACACACAAAAGGCAGGAGGCCTCTCAGTGGGAGAAAGGAAGTGGCACACAGGCTGTGGCCTTGTATGGGGATAGGACTTTTATTTAAAATAGGATACTGTGTGCAGGGCCCTGTGCCGAGTGCCTTCGTGATTGCCTTTAATCCTTAGTAGAAGCATAGGCTGAGTATCGCCCGGCTTGAGTGGCAATAAGAAGGGCTAGTGAGGCTAAGCAGGGGACCCAGAACTGCCTGCCTCCAGGACAGTGGCCTTTGTGCCAAGCTGCTGTCTCTGGTGTCTGTCTGTCCAAGGTGGCTAGTGGTTCACACTTCTTTTGTAGCTCAGGTGCATGAGATGGTCACAGGTAGACTGCTGGCCTCTCTGGGATCTCATGAACCTTGACAGTGACGAGACTGGGGTGGGGTCTCCGAAGAGACCTCCTGTGCTCCTGACATCTGAATGGGTCTGCAGGACTTGTGAGCAACTGTCCCCAGGTCCCCTGATCTGCTGTGCCGCAGTGCTGCTCAGTAGCGATAGACTCACCGCAGCCTCTGCTTCCTGTGCCCTTCCTCTCCAGCGCTGTCGCAGATGGGCTACAACCTGAGCCCTCAGTTCACCCAGCTCCTGGTGTCTCGCTACTGTGCGCGCTCTGCCACTCCCGCCATGCAGCTTGACTGCTTCATCAAGGTGTGTACCCAGCTGCAGGTGCTGACTGAGGCCTTCCGGGAAAAGGACACCGCCGTACAGGGCAACATTCGGCTCAGCTTTGAAGACTTCGTCACCATGACAGCCTCTCGGATGCTATGATCCAGCCTACCCAACAAGAGTGGAGCACACCAAGGGATGCGGCCTGTCTACTCTTCCTTCTCTCCTAGCAAAGCTTTTCCTAGCTTGACCTAGGAAAGGACCGAAGGCTGAATACCTTGGGCTGTGGAATGGCACCACCTTGGGGTAGGGGATGCTGGTGGTGCAGTGGAGTTAGTGTCTGGTCAGCTGTCCCTGGCCTCTGGCTTCCCCCTCTGTTCCCTGATGACAGTGCTAAGCATCGCTGCTGGCCTCTGCTGGCATGCCTGTCACTCCTCACCAAGACCGCCAGGTCAGATGAGCCCAGCTTCTGCTAAGTGGACTCAGACTGAGCATGAGGGAGATTTCCTGGGACCAGTGCCTGGGATTCCTCAACTCCCACAATCCTTGTGTGTTAGCATTAGTTCACCTGAGACTTTGCCTGCTCTAGAGGCTTGGAGAAGCTGCCATTTCAGCCATATCTGATGAGGTTCCTGCCCTCCAAAACTTGGACCCCTCACTGACCTGCCATGTTCCACTCAGCTTCAGTTCCAGGGGACAGTTGTCGCATCTTACTGCCAATGTTTATAATTTGCTTTTTTTTTTTTTCCCATTTGGGGCCAAAAGTCCAGAAAACTGTGAGTTTCAATAAAAGACTCTACAGTCCCATGCTTCCCACCACGACTCCTCTTGCGCGTGTCTGTGCTCACCATTCATTCATTCATTCATTCATTCATCCTCATCCATCCTCATCCATCCATCCATCCATCCATCCTAGTATGGACACATCCACTGCTTACCAAGCCAGGCAAAAACAGCAGTGCTAGGGGCCTTGGCGGACCTGGTGATCATCTGATTTGCCAGGGTGAAGTTGGGGCCCTGCCAGGTTCCTCTGTGTCGGGGATCTGCCCAAAAGGCTGTTTCTTGGGTTTAGGGTTGCCATTCTGGGCTGGCAGCTGCCACCCCAGACTTCTCACAGCGTGCTCTTTTCATTATCTTAGGCCTGAGTTTTATCTCTCAGACAAACTCCATTTATGAAGCCATAACTCTCCTCCTGCTTTTATTAAGCACAGACACCAGTACCTGCCAGTTGCATTTCTAGATCAGCGTGATACCCAGGCTGCACTGCGTCTGTAATGAGCTGACAGAATTTCAATCAAAAGCTGCAGATACCAGACATTCTAGTTTGCTAGGGGGGGGCCTTATCACAGATAATGGTGTGATTATCCTCTGGCTTTGGGAGATGAAGATAAGAGCGCTGAGGCTCAGAGGCCTTCAGCGGGGCTGTCCTCCCTGCAGAGTGGGGGTGGAGAGCGGCTGTGGCCTTTTCCAGGTCACAGAGGCCAGCAGGCCTGTCAGGCTCAGCCAATTCAGCTCCTCCGTGCTGCTGTGGCTCCGCAGTCCTAGAATCAAGAGTCCAGATCCTAATGGTCAGCCCCATCCATTTCTGGGGTCCTCTTAGGGGACCCCAGAGAGTCCAGCCTCTATCTGCCGACCTCCAGTAACCAAAAAAAAAAAAAAAAGAGGAGGGGCGGGGGCTGGAGAGATGGCTCAGCGGTTAAGAGCATTGCCTGCTCTTCCAAAGGTCCTGAGTTCAATTCCCAGCAACCACATGGTGGCTCACAACCATCTGAAATGAGATCGGATGCCCTCTTCTGCCCTTCAGGCAGACACAAAAGACAGAATATTGTATACTAAATAAATAAATAAATATTTAAAAAAAAAGAGGAGGGGGAGGGAAACTTTCTAGGTTGCTTCTCTTTTGACTGGCAGCGGTGTCTTCCTGTCCTAACCAACCGCTTTGGAAACACCATCCACTGGCCATAGTTTTCACTCTTGGGCCAGCCAGAGCTCAGCCCCCCACTTCCTGCATGCTAGTCTTCTGGACAGTGGAACCTATCACCCCATTTCCCCTAGCCCAACCCCAGTCCAAGTTCCCTCATGGATCAGGTAGCTCTGCGCTTGTCAGATGCCCCTCATGAGCTTTACTCCCCTGGGCATCTTGGCTACCTCCCCAGAGTGTGCTTGAACGCATCAGCTCCCCATCAGAAGGCCCACCCTGGTGTAGGCTGGCGTCCACCAGCGGAGTAAGGTAGTGTGTGCAGGAAGCTGCCAACCATCGCCTTTGCTCCTGCTGAGCCATGTGTCCACTGGAAGTCATCTTTGTCTTTTTTTATGTGGTTCTGGGGATGGAACCAAGGGCCTCACATATTAGACAAGTACCCTACCACCCAGCTACACCTCTAGCCCCCAAACCCTTCTTTACAATGGTGCCAACCACAATCTACCTTACACCAGGAGGGGGTGCTGAGAACGTAAGTTCTGGAGCACCCAGCCCTCAGGCCTCATCCCAAGCACACGCCAGCCCTCACACTTGATGTGCATTCCAAGGCCAATGGGAGCACAGAGTGGTTAGGACTGCCCACTCTGCTGGCCAGCTATGGCCGCTGGACTGATGCGTCTGTAGAGCAGGAAACGGTCCAGCACCTAGACCTGATCTGGACAGAATGCCGTGCCTTACAGGGAGCCGGGGTGTCTCGGCGCTCCTGAGCTGGGCCCCAAGGCTCTGCCCCACTTCCTGACCTCTGAAGTCAAGGAAACCCGTGAGCATCTGCTGGTGTGCTCACCCTCAACAGCCTCAGCCAGATGTCCCCCGCTCCTTGTCGCAGAGTGGAACTCCAGAATGTGCTCTTACTCTGCTCTGGCAACAGGTGTTGGGGCCTTTTTGGCAACCATATAATCAGCTCGGTCACAGCTGGAGCATGGCTGGCCAAATCTGTGGCTTCCCCTTTGTTTTCTGGGAGTTCATGGAAAGTAAACGAAGCCCTGATTTCCAAGAAGGTTAGGAACAGTAAATCTGTCAGTCCCGCTGTCTGCCCACCTGCCTCCTTACCTTTCAGTCCAGAGGTCATCGGGCAGGGAGCAGAAAGTGTGTCAGAGATCTAAGTCCTGGGTATCGGAGGCTGGGCACTGCCAGAGGCAGCCTGGCCTGCAGTCAGGTCATCTGGGGTGGGTGCGGGGTCGCGCAGATAAGATCATTCCAGAGCCTTCTCTTCTTGCCACCCCCGCCCCCCGCCGGCTGCCCCACCTTCCACTACTAACCTGAGCAGCACAGACTTTGTGTAATGACAAGGAAAGGGACCAGTCAGTGCCAGGCTTTTAATTACAATTGCTTCGGGCTGCTGGCCTCCATGCTGAACAGCCGCACTCCACAATGCCAACGAGATCCAGCCTGTGGTGCGTGCAGTCCACACCTGGAGAGGGCGGGCTGTGTTTCAGAGCCCACTGAGAAGGGCTGGACCCCAATTAGTTCACAGGTACATCAGAGCAACTGGCCATGTGTGACCCGGGTCTCGGTGGCCTCCAGGCCAGGTGACTATGCCTGTGGGGACCTTTGGAACAGAGTCCAGCCAGGGAAGGCCTGTAATTGAGTAGGTCTTTGGGAGGAAAGCCAAGCTCTAAAAGGGTGGGGTGACACTGTAGGGTACAGCCACACGAGGCAGGTACGACAGTAACCGTGTCCACAGCGCGAAATGACTTACAACGCTCTCTGCTTTCTTGAGTGTGCTTAAGTCCCCTATCAGCCCTGCTTAGGGGACACAACCTCAGAGAGGGAATGACTCTGGCTGAGTCACCCAGGCAGAAAGCCAGGGCTGGAGTCTCAGCCTCTCACCAAGCAGCAGACGTCTTTTCGTGAGCGCTGGGGCAGATCCCGGGCAAAGGATCAAGCTGTGCCTCCCAGAGGCCCTGGGCCAGGCCCCACTTAGGACAGCACTGTGGTGACGCTGGTCAGCACGACATGCTCAGAGACTTTGGAGACAGAACATCGGCTCTGCAAGGACATGGACTTGTGTCTGGCAGAGGAGCGGGGACCCAGCCCAGGCAGGCAGCAGGAGAAGGCGGCCTTAAACTGCTCCCGAAATTTGCCTTGGTTGGGAGACAAAAGACACAGCCATAAGGGGGAAAAGTCAGCAGGAAGGGGTTCTGAGCTCGGTCAAAGCTGTAGGGCAGAGAGGGAGGGGCATTTGGGAGGGAGAGCCCAAGGCCACCTCAGCCCTGCCAGCCAGAGAGGATGAGAGGCCCCAGTGGGTTCCTGGAGCAAAATGCAATTGTCTTGATTCCTTGACTGCATTCTGGCTGGGAGCCTGACTGAAGACATGGTGTCTGGCTCAGGGGCCTCAGGTCACCTCTGCCCTCCATACTGTGTGTGTGTGTGTGTGTGTGTGTGTGTGTGTGTGTGTGTGTGTGTGTGTGTGTGTAGCTCAGGGTTCATGCTGTGGCTAACCTCCCCAGCTCTGTGTAATGCGACCCTAGCTGGTGGCAGTCACACTGCACCAGGGGCTAGGCCAGTACCTCAGGCCTCATCCCCCAAAGCATCCCCCACACCTCCGAGGCTGTGTCTCACGTCACAGATGTGCAGAAGGATATGGTTTGCCCAAGTCCACTCAGCTGCAAGTTGGACATTGGGATCTAACCCCGAACCATCTCTTAAAGGGGAAGTCAGAGTGGGAGAAGAGGGGCTGCACGGCACTGCCTTCAGCTTGTGTGTGTGTGTATATGTGTTGGGGGGCAGAAACTGAACCCTCCCCACTCGTGTCCCCAGTCTGCCATTCTTTAGTATCCAGCTCAGGGCCGAGCACACAGCAGATACTCAGCAAACACAGGCCAGGCACACTGTGTGTACCCGGATGGCTGCCTGGTTCTTCCTCTGTAGGGTTCCACTCTTCTGCCCTGTCCTATGGGTTGGGAAACAGCTAGAAAGCCTTGGTTGAGTAACACTAGGGACCTCTGCCCCTTCTCAAACATCTTAACTGATTTTGAAAGAGCTTGGGAGGCTGAGGACATGAGCAGGAGTATAGGACAGTGTGGCAGGAACGGGCTGTGGGGGCCCAGACTCCCAGGAGAGGGATTTGCCTTGAGGTTCATGACTCCAGGGGTAGCCAAGATGGCCACCCTACCCCATGTCTCTGTGGCTGACTGTCCCTCGTCCCTCAGCTAGATTATACAATCGCCTTCAGTCAGAGCCTCCAGGGTCCTCTTCTCGGGCCTGGCTCCCTCTAGAAACAGAGATTGCTCTGTCTGCACCAGCCAGAAAGGGACTAATAGGAAGTCTTACTGCACATGCTGCCTGGATGGGGTATGGAGGCCCAGGTCCTGCCCTTCCTCTTAGGTCTGCAGGTTGGTCAGACTCCCTTCTGGGTGCTATTAGATTAGGGCCCTAGATTAGGGCCCCTAGCCAGGGCAGTGTACTCGAGTTTCCCCTGAGTGGAGGATACCCAGAGAGCAAGCGAGCAGGTACATCCTCTCTTACCAGCCTGAGATGGACCAAGGGACCATGGCCACCCTGAGCCACTGCATGCATGGTCCACTTACCACTGAGGAAGTTATAGATGATGGGGTTGGCGGCACTGTTGGCATACACCAGCCAGTGGGAGAAGGTAAAGCAGGCATAGACAGCTTCCCGGTCGCTGGCTTGGCGGAACATCCCTAACACTCTAATGCCAGTGGGAAAGGTGGCGAGAAGTACGACAGGTGGGCAGGGGGAGCGTGCCCACAGAACTCTAGCTAGAAAGTATGAGGGTCCCCAGCGCTCACTACCACCCATTTGCGGCACTTGGTTTGAGATCTTGACCACCAATTTGGGTACCAACTTTGGGTATCCAAGCATGGATTCTGGCCAGAATGGGACAGCGATGAATATGATTTGCTCAATCTCCACCTTTCTGATCACTTGGAGCCATCCCATTTACCTTCTCATCCATCCCAACAGACATAAGACATCACGGACAGCACCCATTGTTTCCAGGTAAGAAACAGAGAAGTACGTGCCCCGGATCCCACAAGGGCGAACATGGCCAAAACCAGGCTATCTGTCCACAGCTCCATGACCTTCCGCTGATGACTCCTGACCCCTTATCGTCTGTGTCCTTGTATCCCTCTGCCTAACTGGTGTTCTCCCATCCCATGATGCTTGCTCCTTCGTGTCTGCCAAGTCTCTTCTTGGGGTCCTAACCTAGGCTGGCTTTGAACTCATGATCCTATTACGTTGACCTGTTGAGTGCTGAGAGCACAGACACCTCCCTGCTTCTCAGAGAAGCCTTAAATAGCAACAACAATGTATCTGAGACAACCCCTCCCCCCCATCACACTCTGCCCTCTTCCGGCATTTCATTTTCCTTCATAGTCCTCACTGCCTCATACACACTGATCTTTCCTTCTCTCTCACTGGAGTGCAGCCTCTACGAAGACAGAGATTTTCGTCTGTCATTTGTAGCCAGTCACCCTAGAACTTGGGACCCAAGGGCGTGGAGAAGGGGTTTTCCCAATTGCCCTTGGAGGGAGGCCTGATATCCCCACGTGACCCTAGAGGAGATAAATATGGCCCCGGGGTGGAGAGGAGTGGAGTGAACGGGAGTCTTCTTCAGACCCCGAAGCCCCTCCCCTCCCCACATGGCTGCCCCGTGTCCTCACCTCTTCAGGACATTGAGGACACTGATGGGCAGATAGCAGAGTGCGAAGACCAGCAGAACCACCATTAGCATCTTAGCCGTCTTCCTCCGAGCTCGCATCTGCTTCACCTCAGCCAGGAAGGCTCGGGCCCGGGGTTGGGGCTCTGTGCACAGTCCCTGGTGCTGAGCTTCCAGTTGCTCTGAGGGCCGCTTCCAGTTCCGCACCAAGGCTGATGTGGTTCCAGGGATCTACACACACACACACACACACACACACACACACACACACACACACGACAGCAGTGGATGTTACTCCTTCAGAGACAGTCATTCCCTTTGTCTGGGGACACTCTGAGTCTGGTGGGCAAGGTAGGGACGTGCAAAGAAATTGCCACACTGTGGGGTGTGAACCCCTTCCTAACTGCTCTCCCATCAACGATTAAAAATGGAAGAAAAGTACAAGGGTTAGGGAGAAAAAGATCTGGGGATAGTCTTCAGTGGTAGGACGCTTGTCTAGCATATGCAAGGGCCCAGATCTCCAGTCCCCAAAATTAATTAATTAAAAGAGGCTGCAAGTCACTTTGGGGCCTTCATCTCCCCATGTCCCTGGGTCTGGCCTTTCTGTAGTCACAGCATGGGTGGCATATTCTGATGTCAGGGACCATCTACCCCCTTAGAGTAACAGCTGCACCCTTTGCAGCCCACACAGTGACGCCTTACCTGGCGGCCCCAGAGCTTGCGGAAGATCTGGAAGTAGGCCATGGCCATGAGGCCCAGCGGGGCCAGGTAGGTGACAATGAAGAAGCAGCTGTGGTAGATCTTGGGGTAAAGTTCATCTGTAGGGGTCATGAGATGCAAGAGTCAGGTCTGTCCTGGGAGTCCCAGTCTGCCTCAGCAATGCCACCTTCCCAACAAGCAAGGACCCGGGGACAACTGAATTTCGCATAGGCACATGGCAGGGAATTGCCCATCTCGTGGTATCATCGTGGAGGGACCCCTAATAGATGCCCACACTAGAGGTGATACTCACCCCAGGGATACCCACCCTGAAAGTCCCCTGTCCTAGGGGTAGGCACCCCAGAGGTGCCCACCATTACCTGCCCAGTGTTCATCACAGACAGAGAAGAGCCGCGTGCGGTTGGCTAGCTCGGGCAGCACACTGCTGCACTCCATGACAGCAGCCTGCGGCACCATGACAGCCAGCGACACAGCCCAGATGCCCAGAATGGAGCCACGGGCCCGGCGAGCTGTACTCTTGAACATCAACGGGTGGCAGATGGCATACCAACGGTCCAGGGCGATGAAGCTGAGAGTCAGCACTGCCACCGACACGGACACGGCCTGCCCCCATGAGGACACAACATCAGAGCCGTGGCGGGGAGCAGTTCCGCAGCCCAGAGCTACCAGGGCAGCAAATTCTGACTCTGCCGCTTTCGGAACTGTCACTCGCCCTCTCTGAGCCTTAGCTGTAGAATGGGAAGATGGCATCTATCTGGCAGGATTCTGGTACGAATAAATGAAATCACATATGGAGAATGTCCAGTTGGAGACCTGACACGCACTAGGCACTGTTCTACTGTGAACCATGTCACTCTGTGTGGTGGACACGCGTCTCCCTGCCTTACAGTGAGGTAGGTGCATGTTACAGATGAGGAAATGAGACACGTGAGTCCCTGACATGTAAGCCAACAGACTGTGTCAGTTGAGCAGAAAGCCTCACATCAGTGAGAAGTCCAGGCAGCATTTCTGTCACCCTTGAGGTCATCCCTTCCCTCTGTTGCTGGGAGAGGCAAAGATGGGTCTGCCATGCAAGTAGCATAGGCAGGCATTGCGTCCAGAGTGTCCCAGTTTCCCAGGGTGCAGGAAGAAGTCTGAGGGCTACTGAGAGGCCATGGTGGCCTCGGGCCAGCCCTCCTTCTGGCTACTGATCACCCTCTGACATCCTGGTGTCAAGGATTGGGGAAGCAGGCTAGAAAGGAGAGAAGAGACAATTCTCTCTGACTCTCTCTCAGTTGGTCTCCGCTGGGGTCAGGGAGCAGACCCAGTGAGCATTTGGGACTGTCACTGTGAAATCCTGTCTCCTCTCGAAATGTGCCCATGTACCTGGAGGTAACTGTGTGTGTACATATGGCCAAGTTTGTAGTTGTCACCAGCAGGGGATGTCTGTGTGAGTCTGTGAGTCTGTGTCTGTGTTCCTGAGTGTCCAGCCTGGTGGTCTGGGTGACCCTGCAAAAGTCCTGAGCAACTGTGACTTGCCTGAAAGGTGAACCTTAGGGTCACTGGGACCCGCCACGGCCGTTGGTGTTAGGCAGGCGTGATAGAGGCTACTGGGGGGTGTGGGCGAACTAACCTGTAGGTAGGGAATGACCTTGCACAAGGCATGGCCGAAGAGCCACGACTCAGTGATGTCCACTAACAGACTGGCAGGCAGGCAGATGGCAGTCACCAGCACATCTGCCAGCGACAGGTTGACAATGAAGTAGTTGGTGACTGTCCTCATGTGGTGGTTCCGCCACACAGCTAGGCAGACTGCAGAGAGCATGGGGTGAGTTAAATCAGCCATGACCATCCCCCCCCACCACCACCACCAGCAGGAAGGGGTATGAAGGCAAGGCCAAGCAGGACTCCCTCTAGGCCTCAGAAGACAGACACCTACCCAGTGTGTTGCCCACCAAGGCTATGAGGAACACAGCCACGTAGGCCGCGATGAGAACCCACTCATACTGCTTCGGGTAGAGATAATCGCGCCACAGGTAGCGGAGGAACTCATCCTCGTAGTCTGGAGGGAGGTGGAAGGGTTCCCTGCTGCCAGTGGGGACTCCGGGTGGGACCCCGGGAGTGGCCGAGGGTTCCATGAGCTCTGGAGCCACTTCAGCTGAGAAAGGTGCTGGGCTCTGTGGAAGAAGAGGAACTCCCACAAGCCCTCAGCCCACTCCCTTCAGGGGCCTTGATTATGTACCCAAGTCTTTGGGGTTCCAGCCCAAACATCATGAAGGAGAGAAGGCTGGGGGAGAACGAGAAAGGGAAAACAGAAAAAAAGAAGGGAGCGGGGAGGGAAGGAGGGCACATTAGGGACTTTGCTTATCTTCCTCTCTAATCTTAGTCGTGGGTTGGGAATGGTGGAGAAAGTCATCTTACCTCCCTCTTTCAGCCTCAGTTTCCCCATCCAACGGAGTAATAAAGATACCTACCTCCCAGGCCAAGGCGAGGAACTACTTCACCCAGAAGCCGGCCTCCCAGTCAGTGTCCGGGATCATTATTAGTGAGCCCTGTGTGTGGGTGAGGAGATGGGAAGTTGAGAGGTTGAGCCCCTTGCTCAAGGTCACCTGCATCCTCCAGCCGGCACAGAGTTAGGAAAGGCAGCCATTCCCAATAGCAAATATTCTCTCAAGCCTTGGTTAGGAGCTGGGGAGAGGATTCAGGGAGATACTGAAGATCTAGGTTCCGCCCACTAGACCTGAGCTACACACACACACACACACACACACACACACACACACACACAC